TTATACAACTCAATATATAGATACGCTTTATGGAATTGCCCTTGATTGGATTATGACAACTGTGTCTGCACCTATGCTCAGCTCGAGTCTCTTCCTGCACGAGCTTGTCTGTGCATTTTAAGACATACAGCAAGATCAGCTGAATGCTTCCCCCCCCACCCCACCCCCCAGGTCCATTCACTCAGATGATGTGCTAATTAGGTCACTGAGAAAATGAAAGATACAGAAACCGGACTGAGTGCTCACCAACTGGCTCCTATATGTAATTGCTGTATTTTAGTTTAATTTGTCTGAAGATGTTTTCTGATGTCTCTGAGAATTACCCATAAAAAGGCAGACTGCACATCAAGAAAGCGAGTCAGTGAACACATGAATATTTTGAGCTACAGAGTGTAGCATTCAGCATTTATCACTACAGGAAAGAGGCATGTGACTTCTGTCTCACATGGCAGCTCCTTGGTTTATGCCTTACTCATTGGAAAATAGCAAAAGTATGCTGCAGAGTCACTTTTGAAGAAAGGGCAAGGCACTGAAATGATCCACAGTGCTAACGTTTTGCTGCAGAATGACCCCTGCTTTTATCCCATAAGAAAGTCCTATTTGTTGGAAGAGAATGGACTTGCTGAAGGCAGAGATTAGTTACTAGGAGTCCCTCAGTTTGTTTTCTGTTCTGTCTTAAGCGTGACCTCAGAAGTAGCAGTATGACCTGGCAAGCAAACATATTTAATCTGTTCCTTGGCAGAGTTGAATATATTTTGTCCATGAAAGCACATGCTGTGTATACATACAGGTAGGAGTGAATGTGTCTCCTTGTTGGTACAATTTGAGAGGGAGATGAAGGACTGTTGGAGCACTTCAGGGTATTGCTACTTGGCAGGAGCACACATACTCCAAGGCAAACAAATTTGCTCAATATTTTTATGAGTCTCTGAGCTCAGCTGGTTCTGGCAGGGATGACTTGACTTCGTACAGAGAGACAGTAGGGGGGAGATCATTCCAACTTCCCCCTTATCTGGGTAGTGGAACATGAGTAACTTCTCTCCAGAGCTGGAGGGAGTCGCCTTGGGCTCCTTGTCACACACAGCGTGCCATACTGTCTCCCATGTTCCTTCAGAGCGTCTAGTGCAGGTGCCTTGTATGGCCTAACCATAGTGCAAAATGTAATTGCCTCTGATGCAGCAATTTCAGCACAAGCACTTTGGACTCTGTGGAATAACAAATAATAATAAAGAAAATAGTTTTGCAATAAATGCTAATCATACCCTATAGGTTTGCACTGAATTTGTCATTGGATAGTAGATATTAACAGCAGAAATACTAACTTTTCCAGAACCTTGGAGAGTTTAGAGTTCTTTGAAAACATGTAATTCTTCCTCTAAACATACAGTTTATTTCCCAATACAAATTCTTCATCATTCTGTAGTTGAGGCTGAAAGGCCTCATCATTTACATGAGTCAGAAATGCCCTTAAGAGAACACAGTCATTTACCGAGATGAGCAAATTCTGGAAATTGAGGCAAAGATTCTGTTCTGCAGGTGAAACCAAGCTGCCACAAAGTCTGCAGTGGGGTGCGTGTGTGTTTGTGGCCATCTAGACAAGTGTAGTTTGGCAAGCTTCACCATCCCTCCTTTTCTTTTGGCCTTTTGATCTTGATTGTTGCACTCTCTTCTGTTCTTCTGAAGCCAGAACTAGTACTGCCCACTTTTGTCTCACTACCTCTCTCTTTTGCAGTCTTCTGCACCTAGACCATTCTGTCTTTGTAAAGCATTCACTGCCTGATACATGTTTATAGTGCCAACTAATGCTGTTCTGAGCTTATGAATCTATCATTTATATTGAGCATGTGTCTACTACATGCAAAACTGAGCTGGAGGCTAAGTGATTCCTGTTTCAATCCTGACCTAGCAGTAATTGTCTTGGTGTTACAAACCAAATAAAGAATGGAATTCCTATGCCAATCTGTTTGTCAGCCATAAATAGGCAGTATGTTAGTCAAATTTTCAGAAGTGAAGAGCCTCGTATTTCTGAATCCTGGTATCTCCAAAATATATGTAGGTGTTTGCTTTGGAGGTCTCTGACATTTTTGTTGTCAGCTGAGAGCTGACGTGATACTTGATCAATATTTAGCAAAAGAGGGTAAGAACAAATCTGGGTATAAAATGGGAAGTTTTTTAACAGAGAAAGTGCCTCTCCATAGATAGGATATTGCAAAAATATGAATCACTTCAGCATAAATGAGAAAAAAACTGGTTTTGATTTAAAGCTTTTATTTTCAGAATTTCAGAAAGATGTTTTAATGACTTCAAAATACAAAGTCCTTAAAAGTATATCTGCTACTCAGTGGTGAACTCCAAAGCTTACTTCACATACAGGTGTAGCATTATTTTCATCAGGACTTCAGGATGATGGGAGACCTGACACGCCATCTGGCTGTGGTGATGAAATATATCTGGCAGTGAGAATTGCAATATGTTGAAGAGTGGTGTTTTACAGCATTACAGACCTAATTGGCTTTAATGTCATTATTGAAAATGGGAGGTAACAGCAGTATTGTGTTTCCCCTGTGCCTGGAACTTGGAAACAGGGATGCAGGTTCAAGCATCTTTGGCTGTTCCTTGTAAGGTGGGGTAAGGCCAGGGGCTCTTTGCCTGCTCTAGTCTCACCCAGACCACATTGACAGGAAACAAGTAAAAGGAAGTGGGGTCGGCCAATAGGCTCAAGCCAGTGTTGTTGGTGAAATGATCTTTTGCTGCTAAAAAGAAATTACTTCCTTCTGTGAGGAAAAGAAGTTATTGTGTGTCTATGGTAGTTGGTCCCTCAGGTTCTCCCAGGAGCAGGATGGCTTCATCTGTATGACTGGGAGATGAGCTCTGAAACAGGATTCTGGGTTTAACTGGCCTTTACTTTCATGTATTTATTAATACTATTCTGTTTTACATGAAGTTTGTTTTGTGTTGAATGATTTCACAACCTTACAAGAAGAGACTATCCACTAACGCTGGTCAGGCATCATCTTTAAAACAAATGGAAGTTTGTGAGTGACCTGCAATAAATGTGAAGTGTTTGCTAGAAAAGATTTAGCAACAGCTGTATATCACTGAAGTTCAGACTAAACAATGGAAAAGTGATGACATTTTAAACTTGGTCTCAGTCCAAAGCATCCCCGTTTTCCAAACTGATCTTCAATCATATTCTATTACTAGTAATAACAACAAAGCCCTGCATTAAGTTTGCACAGCATGTGAATTAGCAGAGAACTTGACCTTAACTTTTGCATGTAGAAATGGAGAAGTTATATTTACAAGAGCATTCTGTGTTCACTCCCCTTCTTGTGTGGGTGTATGCAGGGAGTGGGGTTAAATACCCAGTCTCTCTTTAAGCTTTACTCTAACCAGGCTGTGATGCTTATCAATGTGATTTTCTGAAAAAAAGTTGTGATTCTTCCATTACACACTTGAAATGCTAGTTGTAAACCTAGCCTAACCATTAAAAAATCAAGAGTCAAGCAGTTAAGCATTTTGAAATCTGTTTATTAAAAGTAATATCAGATTTTTTTAATGACCCTCTACTTCTTGAGCATGTAAATTGAGTTTTTGATTGTCACAACAGCTAGAAGTGTACCTTTTGTTCAGGTGCTCTCCTGCAAATAGAAAAACAATAAAGAAATTCATATTTGTATGGTCAGACCTAAGAAACTGGAAACAAGAAGAGAAAAATTTTGAAATTTTAGGTCTAAGGCAAGACTCTAAATGCTACCCTTTAAATTTAGCTTTTCTGTTCAGCCTTCTCTCATAAAACCTTCTACTCTGTAGGGCGGAATTCCCTATAGACTGGCTGTGATATTCTGATCCCCAGGTAATCTGTGCCATTATATAAATTGACATATGTATACAAATATGGGAAAGAAAAGAGCAAAACTATGTACAAGCAGGTGAGGAAGGCTGGGAAGAGGTGAAGATACATTGTTAGCGCTGCTGGTGAGAGAAGGGAAGTTGTCATGGCTGTGGCTGCTGCTACTGCTGCCTGGGAAATGTGTGTCAACACCACGCAGTGGCACAAGCTGCTGCGGGGAGGCAGACACGGCGCCTCTCTGTATCCCTGCTCTGCTTGGTGCTGTTGTCTACGAGGTGCCATTGTCACAAACAGGAGTGCTCATAAGATGCTGTTGTCTGCATTGCCTTCTCCTCCCCCACCCAAACAAACAAAAAAATCCTAGCTCTGTTATGTTGCAGTGAGATTTTTTTTTTTTTTTTTCTGCTGCTGTAAGATTTCAGTATGATCCAACAGTGTATTTACTGGATTTGAGAGGTGGTGTTTGAGGGGGAATTCCACCACTGCCTCAAAACTGGCAGTGTACCGTATCCTGAGCTGACCCTTACTGAATGTATTACATCAGGTCTGAAACATTTTGTTGCAGGAGCACAGCAGCCTCTTCCTTTCATAGGAATGGTTTCATCTATTGCTTGCTGTTAGCTTAATAACCTTTTGCTACTTGAACTGTCCTTTCTGCTAGATTATTTTTTCATAGCTTCCCCTGGGGTTTGACTGTGAGCTGAGTGTGTAAGAGACCACTAAACAAGAAGAAAAAACCTCCAGAGATCTTAGCAGAGCAACCCTATTTAAGTAATAAAAACAACTGTGTTTGATGAGCCAGTTACATAGAGCAAATGTTTAAAGGACAGAATGCCAAATACTTGTTTGTAAACCGCAGCCTTTATTAGCAGCACTACTGCAGTTATAAAAGAATATGATCCCTTTCTGAGACTCACAGACTACCTGCATCCCTGTCTTAATTCAAAGCGCTGCTGGATGGGCTTTGGGAGTGTTGTAGGACTAATCCCTATGGTTCCTTGATTATGAGCATGTGCAGAGCAGCTGAAGGTACGGTCGTGCATGTAGAGCTAACACACAGAGACTTGCCTTGCAATGCCATGTTTGTGCATGTGTTCCTACAACTGAGAAGGATACAGGGAGCCTGCCTGCCTTGCTGAATTAGCTGATGTTTTCTTGTTTTTGTTTCAGCATTCAGGATAATTCCTTCAACACAACAGCTTTAGCAGAGTAAGTGAACACTTTAAAGATGTCCTTATTTGAGTTTAGTTACTGTAGAGAATAATTGTAAGTAGATGTGAGAAGTCCCAAGTTATCTGTCATGTATTTTGATTCAGTTTTCTGTAATCTATTATTGACTGTTTGAGAAGGACTGGATGCAAAAACTGCCTTTACATGTATGCTCTGTGACCATTTACAGTGAGATACCTTTCTGAGAGAATATATGTTTGATGCATATCACACATGTTTAAATGCATGATTTTCATGTTTGCATGATAAATCTCTTGTGAAAATATTGCTCATTTCTGGTACTGATGATCTTGACAGACACAAGTATGTCAGTTTTCTAAGAACACATGGTCTGTACTTCCTGCAAGCATTATTAGAAAAAAGAATTATTTGCAAATATTTTGAAAAAAATAACTGTACATTATTTAGACAGGCCAAGTACCAAATACATCATTTCTTTGTAATCAATTCCATAAACTCTTTAGAAAACCTTTCATATATATCACAATCATAGGGATATATATGTTGATTTTTTTTGTTGTTTTACAGAGACAACAGACAAGGGTGAACATGAGAAAGTTAGAAGGCAAAGACTTTAGGAACTATTACAAAAGCAATGATCTTTGTTTTATTTCAGTCTAAACCACTTCAATTTTGGTGTTCTCTACATTTTTATTTTGCATGCTTTTGATTGTTTCCAAAGCTTTTAGGGAAGATTCTTCAGCAGTAATGTGCCAAGCAATTTCTCAGGAAGGAAATGATTTATAGATTTGTTTGTGTGTTAGGTGAGCTTTACACTGCTAAAATGCTCATAATTTAAAAAACTCTAGCTGGACAGTGAGCTGTTTGCCTAAGTGTTGTGGGGACAGGATATATTCTGAAAGAAGGCCAGGTTGCAATCATCTGAACCATCCCTAAGTATTGTCAAAATCACTACAGGAAAAGTAACATTTCATAGGAATCCAAATAATTTCCCTCTCATACACTGCTTCACTTTATTTGTTTACACTGTCCTGCTTTATTTAATATTTTAACATAGTCACTCTTTTTGTGTGATTTTGGCAGATATAGAAAGATGTAACAGGAGCTAATAAATCATTAAATCATTTTTTATGGTTTTCCTGTGTCCCTGTTAGTTAAGCAGTGAATTGTGGTCTGTAAAATTTGGGGATGCTCCCCCTTCACAGAAGAATAACCAGATTACAGATAGTATATTTTTCGTATTTTTTCCCTCCTTCCCTTTTCTCTGCCCCTGACTACATCCATTGTTTCCCATAGAGATTGCCCTGGAGCAGCCCCTGTGTCTGCCTCACCCTTGAGGTTTCTGGGACTTGAAGGTGATGGCCTTTCTCTGTGGTGCTTCATGAGACCATTAAGACAAGGGGCAGGATGGCATAAAAGCTGACTGCGTCGTGCCAGCACTGTCCCTGGGGAAAGGGAGAGGAGTGCAGACGGTGCTGTGCTGTGCTGAGCCAAGAGGTAGCAGCATGGCAGAGCTGGGGCTGGGCCAGGCATTGCCTGGCAGGTGACTCCCCCTCATTTAAGCTGTTGTTGGTTGTGTTTCAGGGGCTTTAAATTTTAATCTTATCTTCCCAAACATAGAAGTAGAAAAATGCTTTCAAAAAACAAAGCAAGGGAACAATGATATCTGAAAATCATTGTCCGAATGAACAAATTTGGTTTCCAGAGTTGATTTCCCTAAATCCTGTTTAGATCCTCCCCCCAAAGCCTGTTTTTGAGAACTGCTGAGGATACATAATTTTTACTGATTTCAGCACTAGTTGTTTGTGCTGGCCATATCTGAAAATAGGTTACTTTTATTTAGCAGAATAAAGAGAGAGCTTGCCATGCAACTTTAGACATCCCCATTTGACAATTTCTGTCTTTCCTTGTGGCAAAGGCAAAATCAGGGCTTCCTGAATAATATAAAATCAGTGATACAATACTTTCAGGAACATTTCTCCAGACAAGGCAAGTGCTTGGGGCTGCTAAGCTTCCAGCAAGCCATGCGTGCAGCCTGGTTTTGAAGTTGTTCATGTGAACATCTTAAAGGTCAAGTCAGCAAAAGGGAGCAGTTTTCAAGTTGTACTGAAATGGCTCCTATGGAAAGGTGAAAATGGAAGAAAGTTAAAAAAGCTTATCCCATTAAACCAGAATGCTATAAAGAGTCAGAGCAGCAGTCCATCTAGACTGGGATCCCATCTCTGCCCTGTCTCTGGCCAGTGCCATAAGATCAGTAATGGATGTACTTACTTTTAAGAGATAAATCCATCAGTCAGTGGTTAGATTGGGCACTGAAGGAAAAGGATTCACATCACTGGTTTTGTCAAAAGACATACTTCCTGCCCAGTGCAAGCTTCACCCCATATGGATTTATGACTTGAAGCTGCCTTGGCGTATTCTCTGATGTTTTAGGAATAAGTGAGATGCTGCTCACTTTGGGTTGGTGGGAACACTACTATGTGGCCACAAGCTTTCACAAAACTTACCAAAGTCTTGAATATTCCTCTATCTGTTAAATATAGCTAAAGTTGGACAACAAAATTTACAAGTTACTGGTGAGAGGAGAGAGGAGTGTATGCATGTCTGTGTTGATATGTGGAGACAAGTGACATGAACACATAAGCTGCATTTCTTAAAGAAGCCAAGGTAAAAACACTCTCTGCTTTAATGATGGATATTTACATTGTATCATGGATTCATATTTTTAAAGGTCCTGCTATGGTCTTAGCCTTAAGCACTGTCTTGTGTGAGTGAACTTTCTTGGTTAATATTTGTTCTTACAAAGAGAAAAATTTCTATTAACAATGTCAGAGTGTGTTGCTTCTGAACTTCCTCATAATTTTTTTTTATTACATGATGGACATGGTCTTCTCTGACTCATTATTGCTTATCTTTCCTATCTACTGCTCTCCAGTTATTCAAATACATGTTGCCATCCTCACTTATGTTGTTTATAAGTTCTGTCTTGTTTTATGACTTTTATCAGTTGCTGGATGCTAAGTAAGGATCTCTACCTCTCAGGGTCACCTTATTACAGCCAACTCAGGGAAAGCAACCCCCAGGGCACTTCCCCAAGTTAAGGAGTATACACACAAGTATGCATACATACATTTGGCTGATGGACCTGTGCTCAGTCATCTGTCTTCCCAGTCACCAAAATGGTCTTTCAGGACTGAAGGCTGCCAAGTGTGACAACTGGTGAGAGGAGGGGGTGAGTGAAGCTGGTAGCAGAGCTACTTCCTCCCACCTTCTCTTCCTGTGGCACGTGCAGGAGGGGGAGAGTTTGTCCCTTTAGAGGGTCCCCATACATTGGTGACTGTGGCTTGGCCTATGGTGCACAACACGCCTGGTGGCATCTTACCCTACTCTCATGTCTGTGCTGGGAGCTCTGTCCATCCAGCTCTGACCTTGGCACTGTCTCCTCACAGTGTATTTCCTTGCTACGTTTTTCTCCCTGTGAAATTTTCCATCGTGTTTTCTATCCAGGTTCCAGATTCCTTTTGTACTGGGCTTCTTTCTTCATACCCCCAGTACGTTCTATCCTCACACCTTTCTGCTGATGTCAGATACCCATAAGGTAATCAGTATCGACCAGAAGGGAAGGTGTGGCTGGCATCCAGAGGCAAAGGCAACCAGATTTCCTCAGTGAATTTATCCATTTCATACATCAGCCCCTGTCTTCCCTGCACCCACTGCAGGAATATTGTGTGATTAGGGGGGATCTGCAACTGTACTAATTTGTTCCAGTTGCAAGCAGCAAATGCTTTCATCCATACGCTAATGTATTCAGGAAGTGTAAACACTTGAGTGTCCCTTTAAATATTTTCTGCTGCAGTCTGGCTTTTGATAAAAATACTAGCAGAAGACTGGTGGGAAAGAGGAATATATTACAAACCTTGCCATCAAATTGCAACGCAGAGCTATGAATTTGTCACTTAATGTGCTCTGTCCAAAGTGGGGCAGCTCTTCTGAAAATTTTACAAGTCAGTGAAGTACAGGCTGCTTCCCCCATAATGAAGAGATTCCTCTGCCAGCAAACTTCAAGTGATCCAGGCCTGCTCAGTGTCTGTGCCCTGTGAGTATGAACAGAGGGTGACGAGAGGGCCCCAACTTTTCCCCAGAAATAATGCCTAAAAAGAGTGTATGCGTATTTGTTAGGAGTGTATGCGTATATATCTATGTTTATTTGAAGAAAGACTGCTCATAGGCTTTGCAGTTCTATCATTCTGCAAAGTTCAGCCATGCTGCACAATACAGCGTTCAATGCCGAGTGGTTAGCATATTTATCCAGACTTATCTTTTGATTAGGCAGCCTTATGACAATTCTGTTGTCTGTAACTTAAGGGGATGTAATTGACTATGATTCTTCAGGCATCTTAAAAATTCTGCTAGTTCACTTTTTAAGACTAATGATCACTTTTATTTGGGCATTCTTTTTCCTGCTGCACAAAGAATGACTGCTCTACTGTAGTTAATATTTTTGTGAGTCTAGGAGAAAAACACCATTAGCTAAGTGTTTCTAATTCCTTTTTTTTTTTTTTAACAGGAAGTATACTATAAGCAATTAAAATACAGAGTTTGCTGTAATTTTCCTGTAATTTTTATGATAACATCTTAGTTCTATGTCATCATTATTTCCATCTGGCTGAAAATGGTATACCAAATTGTGTACACTTAACATCTCAAATGCTCTTCTTCCCTTGAGCAGCTATGGCATTAAATGACCCCAGCTAAGGTGTGAGGAGGAGAAATGTGTTTATACTTTGAGCTGCACTGTCATGTTGTTAAAAGCTATATCTCTGCATCTGGCAGAAAATCAGCAATTATTTTGTATCTATTTTCAAGGTGTGATGGGGATTCAGACTCTGCACATGAAGATCAAGCAGCCAGTTCCAGCCCCAGGTATTCTACTGCAAATTTTGTCTGAAATTTGTTGGCAACAAATAAAGCTGTCAGAGTGATTCTGTTAAACCATTAGAAAGAAATGTTTATTCTCAAGAGAATGTAGAATTTCTGGGGTATTACCTGCTAAAGCTATTAGTATTTCTGGGAAGTGTATTTTTTTTTCTTGTATACTAATGTGTAAACAATATTAAGATTAATTACTGTTGTTGTTATGTAAGTAAATATATTACGGTCTGTGTTCTGAACTTCACGTCATTACTTTCATTCAGATGCTGCTCTGATGCTAATACATTGAATTTTACTGTACAGCAGCTGGTTCAAAGTAGTAGTAAGTGGAGTTTTGCAACTGTGAAAGGATATGCTCGTTGCTGAGTGTCTCTGTGAAAAAAAAATCCTTCAAATTGTAATTTAACTGAAGTATTCTTGAGGCATGTATGTCTCATGGCTATGTTACTATATGTTGATTGCTAGAGAATACGACTTAACCTTTCAGAAAGATTTTAAATCAGATGATACCTTAAAATTAGCAACACTTCTGCACATTCTTGAAATGCCCATAGGATATAAAGCACCCTACCCTGTAACTATAACAACTGCCTTGGAGCGCATTTGCAGAAGGCATGGGCAGCAATGGTGTTTAACTCCACAGGCACCCTGTGAGCATCCATCTGGATGCTGATGGGCCACAGATGGAAAGTGAGTTTGGCAGCTCAGAATCCTTAGGAGAAAACATTGAATTAGCAAGTTATGCTTTCTAAAAAAAATCTTGGGGGTGGGGGGTGGGTGGTAATTCAATAGTCCTTGACTCCCTCAGTTGTGGAATTTTCACACCAGGAGAGAGGTCACCTCTCAGCTAACCATTAGGATTTTACCAGCCGAAGCTAACATCTGAAATTTCACCTGCAGCCAGGGATTTCAGAGCAGTAATGCCTATCTGCTCATCCTGCCAGCTAAGCGGGCAGCCTCGCATTCTGCATTGCAGTAGCTTTCTTAATGGTGCCAGGGAGATGATCCCAGTGGAAGGCACTAGACCAGTCTAAGGTTGGATTGATTGGGTGTGGAAAAGACTAGCAAGGTCATCTTAGGAGAGGTTACATTCTGTAGGCTAGGTGGAGATTGAAAATATCTGTCCCAGATTCAGTGGTTCACTGAGCATCTGTGAGCGACAGTGTCTGTTTAAAGCACCAGAAGTGCTGTTATACAGGAGGAGCTTTTCTCCAAACTGGGAGCACATACTTGTCCCTTTCACCCAAACACATCTCTGGCTGTTTAAACCCTACTTTGTATGCCTACCTCCCTCACTTTGTCCAAAAGCCCTCTAAACCAGAGACTGTCAGAAGGGAGGTGCTATATGGAGAAATTATTGTATATAATGACATTTTTGTGAGATTATAACCTAGTGTGACTCATTGAACAGGGCAAGGTCTTCTGTGTGAAAAAGGCAGTTTCAGATTTTATTTGGGGAATATGTACCATAGGGCTATGAACCATAAAACTAGTCTTATTTAAATGGCTCAACAGTTGAATGTGCAATAATACCAACAGTTGTTTAGCTTGTGATTCCATGATAAACGGTAGCCTCTCAGATTCATTTTACTAACATATGTAGCACTTGGTGTGTAGACTACTCAACTTGGTAAAATTAAAACGCCATAAATAGCCAAGAGCTTGTTGCTGTTCTTCCTTCATAATGTTTTGACAGGTGTCTGAAGTCCTGCCTGATGCATTTCAATTTTATTTTCTTACAGAGATGATGATAACAAAGAAAATTATCCGGACAACACTGCTGTCGTAGAGGAAAGGCAGCTGCCTTTGCAAGATACTCAGCAGCACAAGCAGCAGGCCGTAATTGACTACGCTGTAAAGCCTGAAATGGGCAACTTAAAGCTAAGAAAACCTAAGCCCATTGCAAAGCTAGAAAATGGGAAAAGCCATGAGGAAAATCAGGTAAAGAACTAAATTTACCAAGGGTAGGTTTCTGGCACAGCGTGTGAGCACACATACCTTTTGAAATGCAAAAGGGAGCTCGCTGGTAATCCATGATGTGACTAAGACCCCAGAATAATCTACCCTGATTTTCAGGGACCTGGCGTCCTGGAACCCTCCTGTAATGACAATTTCTTTTAGCCAGGGAATTGCAGAAAGAGGTGTTGCAACTGCTACCAGAAGTGAGTGGAGAGCATAACTGAAGATGTGTATATATCTGTCTTTAGATTTCCTGTGGCTGCTTGCACCATAAATGAAAATCTTGGTAGCTGCAGCACTTGATTAAACATTTTTTGCTTTGTTTATTAGACTGAGGATCTCTTGCACTGGTATTTTGGCTGCCAATGGAGATTTCATACTTTCCCCTTACCTTACTTTCTGGTTTTTTTCTCATCTTTAAATAATAAATCTATTCCAATGCAGATTCTGGTACCGGTGCTCTTGCCCACAGGCTTCCTCAGGTTGAGCTGAGCAGAGCAGAACTTTAATTTTTCCAAACGCTATAAAAGAAGACTAGAAATTAAGAAGCTTCTACTGCTGTCTGTGGAGGTACATTGCTATGTAGACTCCAGACTTGTCACTTCCCAGCAGCTGTTGGAAGTGCCTCTGTTCTCCCCCAGTGCTTCCCAAGTCATGTTTCATGTGCAGCGTAAAGGATAGAGCTCTGGTCCAGGTTTAACCCCTCAGCTAGAAATATTCTCATAACCAAGATAGTTGATGTTAACATTGGTAGCTTGTTGGCCTGTAGTAGGCACAAGGTGTGAGAGATGTCTGTATTTACATCTCTTCTTTGATGTATAATGTATTTGGCTATTTTCTGTCTCTCGTCTCTTCTTGCTTGTGGATAGAAATTTGCAGAACGCTTTCTGAAGTGAACCCATTGTAGACCAGGAATTATTTTGGTTCATTTTTTCAAATTTATATTGGGAATTAATCATTTTGGATGGCATGTCTTACCTTCTAAGTGAGGAATGTCCTTCTAAATCGCAGAAGAAAAATTAAAAGCAAGTGGCATCCCAATGGTATTACCACAGTCTCTTTCAGAAGATCAATGTCAAATCTTGGCCTAATCTTCTTGCATGTTTTTGCCGGAGTTCATCCCTGAGATGAAGTAATAATTGCTGATTTTTTTGTAACTGTATTGTGTTACTAGGAAATGTTATTTAGGTTGCAGGGAGATGCACGTTTATCAGCAGATAAGAAAAATGATAGGAAATTTTGCCCTCTGAAGGGCAAGTGGAGGCATATTAGAAAGAGGAGTCATGAAGAAGTCATAAACAGGGCAAGATCTGTCTCATATTAATCTGTTGCTCTTTCACCTACTTCCTAGTCTCCTGTCTGCCTGCTCTCTGTGTATGTCATGCCTTTATCTCTCACCCAATGAAAGCTAACACAGCACAGATTTGCTGCTCTATGGTATTTTACATGCCCTGAAGTAGTTAACTGAAAATGTTGATATTATTTCGTGGGAAACTTTTTGAGTATATAATTAGACTGCCATAAAATACCAGTGCAACTTAGATATGCAGCCTCTGGAAGGAAAAACAATGTCAGGCAGCTAACTGTCAGTGACTCAAGGGTTTGAATTAGGAAAGACAAAAGTGGTCCTGGGCCCCCACACTACCCTTTGCTCCATCTCTGACATACTGAAAGAGGTAAGATAATGTAGCCACTATTTTATCTCACCTTTGATTTGATGGGAGTACTTGAGGGATGAGAGTCAGTGTAGAGATTTGAGTGTAATATAAAACCCCAACACAAAGCAAAAATCCCTGCATAACAGGAGTTCCATTCATTCATAGAGGGAATTGTATTCTAGTACTGTGGAACACTTTTCAATGGATATCGTTTATCTACACTGTGAGTTCAGTGGTGCTTGCTGTAGAGGAAAGAGTTTCCCTCTTGCAATGGTTTCCAGAAGGAAGCCATTTTGGAGAAAGCATCTACCAAGCCCTTTATTTTGCATAGCTTTCACTCTCATTAGCGAGGATATGCATGCTCCTTGGCCCAGAGTGCTTGCTAGCTGCATCTTCAGCTATGTCAAGGGCTTTTGTTCTAAAAGAAAAAAGCATCTAGCTCCTGGCTTTGCTAAAGGTGCCTATGAAAAACAAGGCTCTGCTTGCAGAAGAGTTCTGTGAAGAGTTTGTTTCTGTGTGTAGTTTCTCATTGAGGTCCTTGATGACCTCCCAAACCCTGTTGCAGCTGTGTTAGCAGCCCTAGTTGTGAACTGGGAGCAACTGCTTCTCTCCATTTTGAAGCTGAAAGCAAAGTGCTGCTGTGTTGTTTCTAGTAGCTGTTGTTTATATGTATACAACAGGTTGTTATTATTGGGAAAAGTGGTCCAGACTGATGCTTTGAAACACAGCACAACTGCGTATGCCTGCCTTTGGTGAAACACCTCGTCACCAAGCCACTCAAGGAGATAAATGATGTGCTTAAAAGCAGCTGATGTTGAGCTGACAAACATCAGTATCTGAGTATATGCATTTATGAAAGAAAAGGATGATGTCCTGCACATGGTGATTAAACTGTTCATCCTCATTTTCCTGAGTTTGACAGAGTGCTTTTTCAACAGTCTCCTCACTTCCCCAACCTGACTTCTCTGTGGCATCAGAAAGAAACAGTGACCACATTGCAGTGACAGTATCTCTTTTAAAGGTGTTGCTGTGATAAGCCAAGGAAATGTTTGCTACTCACTCCTGTGTGTTATAAACCCATGAGTTGCTTTTTTAGAAAATTGTCCCTTTAAAATCAGAATAGACTATTGGGAGATAAAGAAGTTTGCTGCATGTGTTGGAAGGATTAAAGTCTGTTTGGATGGGAACCAAGTTTGTGTGCCTTTCTACTAGTGAGAATCCAGGGGATTTCCATTGTAGAAAGGTCACTGAGAGGGAACAGATCTCTGTGTTCAAGTAGAGGAGAGATGGCCAACTCAGGGATTTTGAGCTTCACAAGGCTCTCAGTCTGCTGGAGTGTGACTCCTGTTCCTCTGACTTTTTTGAAACAAGTGTAGTACTGTTGGTTATGTACCCTAGGTCTTGATGAAGAAAAGGTTATTAAATTTACAGTGATGATTAACAGAACCAAGTCTAATAAAAGTGTAGTACCAAGTGACTTCACTTGACCACTTACCAGCTGATAAAGTGTCACTACAGTAGAGCTGTACCTTGGATATTGCATGCAGTTATTGCTTTGGGGGCAGGAGCTGGGTATGGGGGCAGCTGTAACCTTTCCAAAGTATGGGAGGAGAGGCAGGCTGCTGGAAGGTAATTACACTGCTGTACTCCAGCTACTTGATTTCCTCTTTCCTATGGTTTCATGAGCTTCTTTAGCAATTCTGCAATGTTAATCTATAGAAAATCAAATTAATTAGGATTTATATGACTTCAAGAGGTGAGGAAGCATATGCTCAGAACATACTCTGGGGAGTCAGTGTGAGAACAGATGTTGAGGAATGGAAAGTCTGCTTTCCTTCGCTAATCCTTTCTCCTGTCACTCACCTTTGATGCACAGGCATGAATATGGATTATTAAATGAACCATCCTCAAATTCTTTACTGATACTGAGACATACTTATAAAATGAGACTAAACATGTTAACTAATAGGTAGAGACAGTAAAAGTTCAGTTTTAAAGTCATATTATCAAGGTAAATGACTATAAAAATGAAATGGTGGCTTGACAATCAATGCCCAGATGTAAGAATGCTGAAAACTGCTGTGTGAAATTTTGTATTTTGAGTATAAATTAAGTGGGCAAATTGCATTGGTTTCAAAGAACTTCCAGTAATTTGGCATTAAAATTGTGGTTTTAAATGCACTGGAATCAAAAAACCAGAGCCAAAGTTAACACGAGCTACACAAACACATGAATGTGTCAGGCAGTCTGCAAGTTGCACTTCATTTTTTAGGTATGCTTTCTTTATGTTTAAACCATACCTCCCATTGTGGATTAAATCTGTTCAATTCAGTGTCCATTAAATGTACCTGCTTATTTTCTTGTATGGACTGGCATTTTCAGGAGAAGTAGGAGGCAATTCTGCTCAGGACTTCAGCCTACTTTCTGTATTGACACAGCACCATGAGGTATGCCAGGGCTGTGATCCCAAATGCTGGTACAATATCTGCATGGTGCTTGCATTTGAAGAGAGACAGAAGTGTTTGTGTGTTGGATAAAGCATATGAAGGGTGCAAGGCACTTTCTGGTGTTCGAGAGGAGATTAAGCTGCTGCGTAAACACAGCAAAGGTTTATATGTCTGTACTGTAATTCAGATGTTCTGACTGAGATGGGTTATGACATGCTGTGATTTTTTTTAAAAGAAAATAGATTTTTTTAAAAAAATTTAGCTTGTGAAACAGAAGCTGATTTATCTCAACATGTGTTTCCATGCTGGTAATTTTTGACTGGTCCCAAACCCATGTAGTATTTTGTGTACAAAGCAAACATCATGGTAGTGATTATGCAGCACTGAGGCTTCTCAGCAATGCCTGAAGATTTCCCTCTTCACAGACTGCTTACCAGATGCAGCCTTGTTGTAGAAGCTTCACTCTATAGTGAAGAAGAAACAAAAATACAATGAAGACAGGACTATACTGTTGGATGCCTTTGACACATCAGGAATGAACTTCATTGCTCTTAAATAGAGATTCCATCAAGGGTGTTTCCCTGTTACTCTTTAACATCCTAATGACATAACTTATGAACAACAACGAAAAATAAAATAAAATAAAGTAAAATAAAATAAAATAAAATACAACCAAACCCCACCCAAATCTCAAACATCAAGCCTGCAAGTGAGTACCAGCATATATTCTTGTCCTCAGCTTTCCCTTTATTTTTACCAGGTGTGTGGTTTTTTTACAAGATCCCTTAGTCCTTCATCATTAATTTTGAGAAGTGGGCACTGCATATTTCTCATGAGAGAAGACCATTTGGGTAACTTTCTTAAATTTAAAACTTTTTTATAAAAGTGTAATTTAATTTGGTTTAAGTACAATGTGTCTCTAAACAAGCTTTATTCATAATCTGTAAAGATGGAACAGACTAGGAAGGAAGTAAAAGCAGTCACTGTTTTTGTAAATGTAGAATGCCTTCAGCCCTTCAAGTTTCCATCTGAACAGTCCTATCCAAACTTCCAACTTCCATGCTTCCAGCTAAGCTTTGGACCAAAATCAGATACATTGCTTTACTAAGGGAAGTGAACACTACTGTTTTGCAAAGCACATTGTATTTTAATTTTGTAAACTATTAGAATAAAATATTGGATGATAAAAGCCAATAAAGAAGTAGGAAAAGGTCCCACTTTATCGCAATTTCAAAGAACTTCATTAGCTTACCCCTTTGCAATGCAAGGGAAATATTATAACCCATTTTATAGGTAAGAAAATTAAGATCTGCTGAACACGTCTTGTCACAGCTCTACAACTGGTTTTCAGAAGCTTGGAGTAAAATGCATACCTTTCTAATTCCTACTCCCTTCTTCAATTCGTTGGACTAAATTGGCTTTTTTTATTTTCTGTGTGGCAGGTTGGCTGGTGTAACTTTTTTTTTTTCCCTCACTGCTCTTCACTCCTCCTGCGGCAATACTCTCTTCATAAAGATACACAAATGCTAGGGAAGGGAAAAAACTGGTTAAACCTTGCAAATCTTATTTAAGTGAACTGCATTTGCTTTTGTCAAATTTTTGTCAAAATTTTTCTGATGATACCCAGGTACTAAAATATTACTGATATGTGAGTAAATAATTTCAAAGGAAATCTGAATGTGTATATAAGCAAAAAAAAAACCCCAACCCCCAAACCCCTGTGTGTTTAGCACCTCTTAGCTCAGAAGCTGACATGGGTTATCTAGCTAATAAATAGAAGATGGGTTAGTCTGCTTTGGTTTCAAAGAATGTTTTACAGTGAAAGAAGATAGTACTTTGTTTAGAACCTTTTCTAGTCTGTATTTTCCAGTTGTTTCCAGATTATTACTAAAAATTAACAAAGAACCACAATCAGCATCCGGTCTCATGGAGCTCTTTTTTTCTTAAAGCAAAATATTCAGCTAAGCCTAATTGGTACTGACAGGGCATTCAACATTTTTTTTTTTCCTTTGTGCAGGAGCTGGAAAGTGCATTGCCAGGCCTTCCAGAGTGGCAGGGGAAGGCTGGATCCTCAGCTAATGACTATGCACAGAACGAGGCTTTCAGATGCCAGGAAGCAGTCGTGAGATTTCAACCAAGGTATGTCTTGGGATAAGACAGTGCATTTCACTTCTGATTAACTGTAGGAAAGGCTAATTCATTTGCTGCCTCTTGTATAAAATATTCAGACTCCTGCCTCTCATTGGCAGTTGTATTCTGTATTTATATGCCTAGAACTGTTTGGAGAAAGTGAAAGGGATGAAGATAAGAATGCAAATTTCATCATTCTTTAAACCCATGCATTTCAAGCAGGAAGAACATCCTCAGTTCGGCAACTTCAATTCCTCTGTGCCAAGTTTCAAAAATATCTTGGCACTTCTTTTCTTTTTCCCCCAATGCTGACTTGCCTCACTCTTTCTCAGAGGTGTATTTTCACCGAGAAATGGGAATGGGAAGTTGCACACCTGATTTTAGCATGAGTATGCATTTATGTACAGTTTAGACCCTGGGTGCTGCGGTAACTGCTTGTTCCAATGCTGTGAAGGTTACAGGGTGTTCAGGTCAGGCATAAGCCAAGTCTTGATTTCAGGTAACTCAGCTGATCATGAAGTAACTCAGCTCTGGTAACTATTGGAAGTCACAGTTCCTCCTCTGATCCTTCATGGCTGTGCAAAAGGCCAGTGAGGGTGTCTCCTAAGGATAATATTTAGCTCTTACTGACAGGCTTGGACTGTGTAAATAACATCATGGTCTTCATGGCTGTCAGGTTTTGGGGCACTACTTTACAAATTTCCCATGCTCAGGTGCTGATTTGGCCCTGCTTTGCTGTGCACAAAGTTTCCGGGAAGTGAGCCAGGTCTCTGCTCTTTGTTCTTTGACAGCCTTGGTGCTGTGTGGCAGAAGCTCTGTCTCTCTTTGGAGGGACCAGAGCAGCAGCTGGAATGCTCAGTGGGTCAGGGCACAGCTAGTGGGCATACAGAGCTAATTGCCTCCAAGGTCTGTTTCAGGTCAGGACTAGGTTAGTAGTGACAGTTGCCATCCAATGGCAGTTTGGTGCTTTGTGTGAAATGAACTGGTTGCCTTCACCACAGCTTTTAGTAGGCAACATTGTAAATGATATTAATTTGTGCTCTCAAAGGAAGCTTTAGCAGAATGACCAAGCATTTAATTAGCTTTCACAAAGAACTGCTTTCACCTTCCAATGCCTGTATCTGTATCCAATCCAATGAGATACTGCAAAGTCCTGCATCACAGTGTGTTTCTAATTAGCCACAGCCTAGGAGGCTTGCCTTTTCTTTTTCTGGCACTCTTTACGCTAGGAAAAAATCACATGGATTTCTTGTACTAATAGGCACGTAGTGAGTTTGGTATCACAGAGTTAGACCTGCCCAGTGGCTTGGCTGGTAGGAGGTCTGCGTATGGGTAGATAATGAAATAACATTGGTTAATTTTGATTGGTGAAAGGAATATGATGAAAGAAACATGGAATTTAAAGATAAGAACCAGAGTAGAGTGTGCATGAAAAACCAGCAACCACAGCAAAGTTCCTCTGCCCACTTCAACAGTTTGGCCTTTTTAGTTGGCCTGGTATTAAACCGTTGTTCACTATGCTATTTATTCCTATTTAACACCAGGCTAGCTCCTTAGGAAGCCTGCTATCCACAAGTGCTAAATCTGTTAAATAATGGTACCTGGATTTCCCATGCTAAGAGTTGTGAAAGCATAGTGATCAAATCTCAACTTTGGCCGTGTCTTAGTTTGATTATATTACAGCAAAATGGAGGCGACTTTACTCTCAAATAAGGAACTTGAAACATGGAGTAAGCAAGCATTAACACGTGGTCCCTGGCCTCACACACACACTTATTTAACTGTCTTAACTGTCCTTGGAAAAAGCATTCCCACCACCCAGCTGGGGCAGGGGACTTTGAATTACATATGTTGAAGTTACCACTTTCAGTTTGAGGGTCACTGTGTCTGGTGACTCCTCTTAAGGGTCACCAGCAGCTTTCCCCATCCCTCCGTCGTCAATCAGCTTTGATGGGGCCAGAGCAATTACGTGCCTATGTCACTGCTCATGCAGGTCGCTGGCTGCTGCATCAGGATCACAGAACTGGCTCGTGCAACAGGCTGTGAAACATAGCTGCCAGGGTACGACATCTTGCCTTGTTTTCTGTCTTCTCTGCTCTGGGACATGTCAAAGGTTAAGTATTCAGTCTTGGCAGCAGGCAGCAACCATAGCTAGATTTTGACAGAACGCATCTGCTAGCCCCACAAAACTTGAGTTTCACTGTCTTCCATCCTGGTTTTGCTAGGTTACTGCTAAAATTAGCAATGCTTTGGAACACTACATCTACCTAGGATCCTGAACTTGTAGACCAAAAGCTTTCTGGTCCTTTGGAGAAGATGGCCACACTGTGGCAGGGGTGCCACTGGCAGGCTCCTCTGTCTATCAGATGTGTGTATGGAGGATAGGAGAAGAAGGATTTATTTTTGTCTCATACTAAGAAGCAAGTTTGATTATTTCTAGTGCAGCTTGTTGTTACTTCTGCTTTAATTTAGTTTCTGCAGGCTGCTGTCGCTCTGTCATTAGTCTTATTGGAGTTTAAAGTTCTAGATGGCTCTCAACTGTACAGTTTTTTAAAGAATCTGTTGGTGAAGAGATTTACAGTCAGAAGAATGAGAGAATACTGTCTTGTTCTTAGCTAAGCTATACCTGACCTGTGAATCAAGGATTTTAATTTCAAGAGGTGTTTATCATGCATGATTTATGAATATCAGCATCAATTTAGAATATGAAATTCCATTTGCATGGAAGGAAATCTTTACATTTTATTACAAGAACATGGATTTCTAATACTATTGCTACTGATTACGTTGAATACTGCTCCAATCATCGTGTGTAGTTGGGTTTGGATAAGAGTGTAATATAATCTGCAGTTTTGGGAGATAAAAGTTATATGCAGGCCCCAGGAACAAATGTTACAATAAAGAGAATTGCCTTTTTTAACAGAGAATAGAAAAGCCAGTATGGAACAATACATATGATTACAAAAAGCTGCTCTTACCGATTGCCTTCTCAAAGGCAATCAGCAAAACTGATGTGGATTGCATAGATGTATACACTGTTACCTGAATAGAGGATGATGTTTTCTTCAGATGCCTGTTACACAGAGAGGGGGCTGAAATATGGGACTCCTGGGCAGTAGAAACACCAGTGTATCAGAGAAGGTTGCATTCCAAGAACTACATTTTGGGGTTAAGTTTTCTGTCAGACAAAAATTCCTGAAAGTTTCCGCTCTACCCCATTCCCCAAATAAAATGGGAGTGGAGTGGTTTTGTTCAGTAGGACTCAGCTGGTCCCTGGGTTGGTCCCTAATTTCTGCAGAGGCTGTAGGGTGGCAGTTGCTGTCAGATCTACGACTGTTCTTCAAGAAAACTGGAAATACCGGGAACCCTGGGCTGCCCTGGATTATAGGCTCAGCCAGAATCTCCCAGGGCTTCTGTGCTCCCCTGAGGGAGACCAAGCTCTAGTGAGGCTTTCAGTATTCAAGTTTTCAAGGGAAGTAGCTTTTGAGAGTGCAGTTCAGGTAGGGACTCTTGTAGTTTCCACACTTTCTGCTGAACAGCTACAACTCAGGGATGTGTGGGAAGGAGCAGGGAAGCTGCAGAAGTGCTGATGTTCCCGCGCCATATGGCAGACCTGCGCGGGTGAGGTAGAGCTTGTGAGGCTGTGTTCCCACACAGGGAGAAAACTTGACCAGATTCCCTCCAAGTCCTGCCTGAGACCTGGTGAAAATTTGTCACAACCAGTATGTGTCTGCGAATAGCTCTCTGTCAGCAAATCAGGATTTGCTGATGAAACATTGCTTTGCTAGGAAATGATTGATCAGTTCCTAAGAACAGTTTCTTCAGGAATCTTGATGTTACACTGTTGGTGTTTATGGTTCCAACGATACTCCTCGTAACGCATGGAAAGTCCCTGAGCGAGCTCTTGGGTTGCAATACACTTAAGGAAAAAAAGAAAAAAGAAAAAAGGTGGGGTGGGGAGAGGACAGAGGGGCAAACACAAAATAGCATCTTGCTGTAGCCCAAGTAAGGACTGTGCCTGATGAGTATGAGAGGCGCTTATAATAAGAAAAACAAGTGTGGTCATCCACAGCTAGCCTTTACGTAACTGCTGAGATTGATGAGACAGGCACTGCTACATTGGCTTTCTGTCTGGCTGCTTATTCCAGCATTCAGGGACTGCCCAAGGAGTAGCCTAGGATGTATCCTAACAGCCTAGGACCCTTAATAGTGTTGTTTCTTGCACTGCAAATGTGCGCTTTATGTTCATCCAAAAGCCTGTTGCAGTTCTGTATTGCTTTGTAAGGATTCATATGCATGCTTTTCGACACATTTGCCTGCAGCCATGTAGTAAGGTGGTGACTACGTTTGAATTTCATAATGCTTTTTGCCATTTGTGGAGGTCTGAGAACCTTTCTGTTTTCCTGGCATTGAGGTGTGTTGGTTGTGGGGTCTGCCTTTCTGTGAACTCGTGTGATGTAACCTCTGGATAGGCTGAATCAGTCTTTTGATGTGGTACTGAGATGACCCTTTCTGAGCTGTTAACCTGGTAGGCCACCCTCACAGTGGGAGGGGTACAACTGGTTGCTAGACTGGAGACAGGGTAGGAGTATTGGGCCAGGATAGACTGAAAGTGAATCTGGAAAGTGGGTTTCATCCCACAGCACAGTGGGTGGTTTGCTTGCCAAGATTTATTCTGGTATCACTAATGCATTAATTGGCCCAAAATACTGAGCACGTGTGGCGTTGTGGTGCATAAGCATGTAAGTCTCCTGAGGATGGAGTAATCCAGGGTTGGTCTGGATTGATACTTGCAAATTATGGAATGTAATGCGCCTTTCTGGATTTAGTCTGGGAAGTAAGCAGTGACTTTGCTTGGGTTATCTTTAAACATTTTTCCTAGTTTTTAAAATTATGTGGTTTTATCTGAACTTTATGCGAGTTTAGAAGTGATATCATGCATAATTCAGTAATTCACATGTTCTGGTCTGTTTTTTAAACAGCTCACTGCTCATGCAAATTGATCTTTCCCTTGAAGTCTGGTAGGAGCTCTGTTATGAAAATTAGTATTTAGAATTTTGTTGTTGTTGTTATGTCCACAAGCTTCAAATGTACATGTTACTAGGTTGCATCTTTGTCATCTGTGCCATGCAGAATAGGATAATTCTGCCAAAGCCAGTTGCCAGTTGCCAGTCTATAGGGAGGGTGAGAGATCAGGCCTTTCATATTTTATAAAGAATGATGTAACATATATTTGAGTAGTAGCCACAGAGAGAATTCCATTTTCATTATTTTAGATAATGTAAATTATACAAAATAAGGGGTGCCTGCAATTACTCAAAATTTCAGATGAGGCTTAAAATAATTTTAACGTGCTCAGCACAGATGGAAAATTAGGGGTTGTTCCTCTGCTTTTGAAGTTAATGGATATTTTGTGATTAACTTTTAATGAGAGTAGGATCCAACCCATAGTTATTAAATTGTATGCCCTTTGTTGCTTGGTGACAATCAGATAACCTGCATTTGCTTAGCAGAGCAGTTAATCTTGGTGAAAACAAAAAACACACCCCAAAATTCTCTATATAGAGTAAGATCAGCTCAGCATACATATATGACTATTAATGTAAATGGTCTTCACACAGAAATGGTTACTCACCTTAATGATTTCAGTATTTCCAGAATCTAAAGAATGCAAAAATAACAGCATCTTCCTCCAGTATTTTTAGTGAAAAAGAAACAGTAAAATGCAAGACTTCTGCATCCCTAAACCAGCAGACAAGAACATCATCCTGAATGAGAGAGAGGTGGTACCTCAGGGATGCTGTAAGCTTTTTTCTCTCCAGGGTGCAAGATTCATGAGCGATACAGCTGTGGATTATGTAGAACTTCTTCGTATAGCACCTGTAAGAACTGCTGGTACTGTTTTTGTTGGGTATTTTTTAAAGAGAGTTCACACTGGCTGTGTGTTATGCACCCTGAAAGGAGTCATCCAGATGAATACCAGAAGTGTACAAATCTTACGCAAGTCCTTTTCTTCCTTTCCTTTATGTCTAGCTCTAGTTCAATGCAATAAATCGCTCTTTTTCTTCATTAGTGAATTAATTCTTCAGCTGTTTGTAGCCTTGCAGGTCCTTCCTTACATATTATTAAACCAAACTATAAATATTTCACTCTT